AATGGGGCCCTGTAAGTCTGGGGGGCCTCTGCTTTTGATCATTTCCCCCTCACATTTATTAGCGAGTGTGGGGAATTTCCCCAGGGTTTCCCCCCCCCCCATTCCTTTTCATACAGTTGGAAAAGTCTGATCTGTCCTTCCGTCCCGAAACTCAAATCAAGAGCTGGAGCTTAAATTCAGCGTTACTTCCCATTTCAATATTTCCATTAGACTTTTAACCTGAATGTGCTTTTTTAAAAAAATGAAGAAAAAGAAAACTGAAATGCTTATGAACAGCTGTGCGATCTTGCTTAACTGATCCTTCCTAACGCTGCTGACAGCCATACCCTGGGCACAGTCAAGGTGTTGAGACAGCCTAGATGGCTCAATGAAGAATGCTATTCATATGCCTTTTAGGGCTCCGGCCAGTGGAAAATATTTGGGCTGCACATTCGCTTTACGGACTTCAGTCAGCGAAGGAAGACTTAAGCCCTCCGCAACATTACTACTGAATGGATGTAGCATGTGTACACATTTTCAAGCTCTGAACGTTCCTCCCTCTAAAAAAACAGGTCCGGCTCTGGAGTGACAGCACAGACAGCCTGCGGGCACTCCCTCCTGTCTCAGAGCGATGTTTTCATTGGTACATAGGAAAGTAATTTGAAGTCAGGTGTAAAAACACCTCTTTCTCCGTTCCAGTGACAGACTGATTGCTGTAACCTTGCTGGATGTTGAGCTTGGATCTTAGGGGCTTGAGTGAACCCTTGTGAGGGCCAGCGTGGTGTGGTGGTTAAGAGCGGCAGACTCTAAATGCGGAGAACCAGGTTTGAGTCCCCACTTCTCCTCCACATGAAGCCTGCTGGTTGACCTTGGGCCCGCCACAGTTCTCTCAAAACTCTCTCAGCCCAAAGCTAGTTGGAGATCTCCTCTCTTGGGTTTTTAGTTAGTAGTGGGTTCTTTACTTTCTCCCTTATATGTAGCTTTCCCTTTCCCTTTTTTCTGTTCTAGTTTTTGTAGTATTTAAAAAATCAATAAAAAAATCCCCTCCGGGGGCTTAAAACCCCCCCAAAAACCTCTCTCAGTCCCACAAACTTCAAAAGGTGCCTCTTGCAGAGAAAGGAAGGGAAAGGCAATTGTAAGACACTTCGAGACTCCTCAAGGTAGCGAAAAGTGGGGTATAAAAACTACTCTTCTTCAACCTACTCTTCCTATTATCCTTTTTGGATGGTTGGAAAAAATATCATTTAGTTACCTTTTGCCATAATTCTCCTACAACAACGGGGTGATACACTTTAAGTCACAAGAAAGCTGCTAATACTATACCATGTCCTGAAAAATTAAAGAATGTGGGTATGGTGATCTTGCCCTCTTCCCTCCCTCACGCACAGGATTTTCCCTTTTTTCTTCTTTCTTGCTGAGCCGCCCCTATATCTATTTCCTTATTTGTTTGTCTATGGCTGACCCATCCAGTCACTTTTATATACTGATGCTGGCCCAGCCCAGTGAACTGAGGGGACAAAATTATCTTCTTACATTCAACTTCTGAAATGGCACAAGAGAGGCTTTTGAAAGCTCAAAATAAACAAGATGTTTTATTTAACTTAGAGAAGAAACGGTCAGGTAGAATCAGGGGTAGGATGTATGAGGTGAACCGATAATAAAACTGAGGTAACTTTGTAATCACACTAACTCCAGATAATTTGTTGCCAACCAGTAAGTGTTCCTGTTATTCAAAATGGTCTTTTAAACCTTTGAAGAGAGAACATTTCTTTTCAGTTTCTATGTAAACACTGAAGCATACGTTTCTGAGTTTCACTGACTCAAAGTCTAGAAGGTAGGAACATAGAAACAAGCAGTGTTCCCTCTAAGCTGAGTTAGTATGAGCTAGCTCACAGTTTTTTAGCCTCCAGCTCATAATTTTTTGTCTTAGCTCAGAAAGGATGGCTCTAGAGCAAACTAATTTATGCAGTAGACAAATTGATCACTCACAACTTTAATGCCAGTAGCTCACAAAGTAGAATTTTTGTTCACAAGACTCCACAGCTTAGAGGGAACATTGGACAAGTTCCTAAAATCCTTCTATATACACACACCAGGGGTCACTCCTCTTTTAAGAGCCATCACCCTTTTCACTAGGCAGGGATTACTTTTCTTAACCAGAAGCAATTTCCCTTTTTGGCATGAATGGGGATCCTCTCTGATCCTCTCATTCCTTTTGCCTCCTTCCCAGTCTTCGTTCAGTGCTTAACTGTCTTTTCATCAACTGTCAGTTCCCAACTGTCATGTCTTAACTGACTCTCTCCACAGAATTACATTTGAACTCCCTGTCACTCAAAGGTTCTCAGACTCTGTTACCTATCTACCCCTCACTCTTAGGGTCGCCTTCCCCATGTGGGTCCTTCTCCCAGATCCTTAAGCTTCTGCCCTGGCCACTGCACCCTTCCTGCCGGGTTAAGCCAGGGGTAGCCCATCTGCATAGGTCAGGTGTGCAAAGTTCCCCATCGCCACCCATGGGACCAGGAGTACTGACTTCAGGAGGCACAGTACTGCCCTGTCTGCAAAAGTCCCAAGACTGACTGCCCATACCCTTCAGTCAACTGCCCCATTACCTCCTTCAGCCGGGGCCATTTATCCCTCTTCACCTGGCCACTCGTACTTCCTATTTCCCTGCTCAGACTCTCAAGCAAATCTTTCCTCCTGACAGGAGTCCTGCCTCCCTGCTCCTCCTCCTGAGCAAGCTCTTTCTGCCAAGGAGGCCTTTACACCAGAGGAGTTCTTTGCTCCACAGGAAACTAGTAGTGGTGGACTGTCCGTCTGACTGCTCCTCCCTTGCTGTTGCCGCCCCCACCTGGCTCTCCTCCCACCTCTGCCACTGGGCTGCCTCCATCCTTAGGACCAGGCCCCTGTTCCATCTTTCTCCCCCAGTGCTAGGAAGCCCTGAGCTGTGACAGAATGCGTCCCTCACATGAAAGGGAAAAATCCTTGAAAGTAAACAAAGCAAAACATCAGAACAGAATCCAAAGAAGAAATAATTTAGGCTAGAAGTCTCCCTGCTTCTTGGATTTGTTTTCTTTCTTTTTCCTTTTTAAACACAAGACAGCATTCTGAAATGGCACACGGGGTCCGATCCGGAATGTTCTATCCCCTGAGGTCTCGCCCCTCATTCCAATCTATATGTAGACCAAATCCCAGAGCAGCCTGAATCTTCTCAGAAAAGAGAGGCTTGGTTTTATTCATGCAATTCATTAAATAACGTGTTGAATGAAAGAATAAGCAAGACGTTGGGCTTCTCTCCATGTGCCCCCCCCCCGGTTGGTTCTGGCCCCGTACTTGTTTTCGGGTATCCCAATTTCCCTATGAAGTCTGTGCCTCTAGTTTTTGCTTTTGGGGGTTGTTTGTCGACTCTACACCCCCCCCAGTTCTCTGGAGACCACTTTTACACTGATATTTTTCTGGAAGCTGATTTTGAGTCCTATATAACGTTGTTTTCCCCTCCTGTGTAATGTTTCTGTCAATTTTCTTTGCCCCGCCCACTCCCACCCAACTCCACCCCCTTTTTGGTGCCTGGACAGTCATCATTGTCAAACTACTCCCTCTCCTCTCCTCCTTTAGTTTTGGAATATTTTTAATGGCCCTGAAATATAAATATACCACTGTAATGATAGGTTAAGCAGGTTCCCCAGCTTTTTTGAACGTCCAGCTTTCATAAAAAAAAATAAGTATCTAGCTGCTTCCATCACGAAGATCTAAGGAAAAAGGCATATTTCCACAGAAAAAAGGGATAGATACTTTTCTTAAAATGGAAACTGGCAATGCAGAGAACCTACTTAACCTACCACACAACAGTATATCAATATATCGATATTTTAGGTGCGGTTTTTTTAGTAAAGGGGGGGGTGCTGCTGCAATGCCACTGATGATGTAAACAATAAGCGATCACACAGCAAAAGATCAAAGGCAAAGCAAAGATGTACAAAGAGGACGCTGAATATAGCAAAAGCTAATAAATAAAGAAAAACAAATATTACGAATATTACATGATGCATACAAAAATGCAATATTACATAACTCATAGGTTGCAGTCAAGTATTAAGCAATTACAGATAAGTCAGGTGTATAATCAATTAATAAGTCAATAAAATAGCACATAAGTTGCAACAAAGCAATTATAGATGAGTCACATGTAGGTCAGATGATTCAAGCCAACAGAAAATGAAGGTTCCGGATATTAATCGTTTCAAAAATCTTCAGTAATTATTACAGTTTTCCACAAACACAGTCTGGGATATAGACATCTCAGGAAAACATCCCTTAAGAAAGTATACAAATTCTATAAATGGGCAACCAGACACAAACGTCGCAAGCTTCAGAAGGAAATAATGCCAAGGATTCGATCTGCTGGTATTGCCTCAAAATGGTAATAAATGCCGGGGCTTAATAGGCATCATGTAATATTTGTTTTTCTTTATTTATATATTAGCTTTTGCTATGTTCAGCGTCCTTTCTACATAGCTTTGCTTTGCCTTTGATGCCACCGATGACGACAGCAACATCCCTTGAAGATCCTCATAACTGAAGGCGTGGGTGGAAGAAAATTTTCACTATTGTGAAAATGCAGAGGGAGGGCAGATGTGTGAAAGGACCATGCCCAAACCAATTCCGGTGCTTGTGGATCGACTGCCAAGACAATCAGGAGTTAAGCTGAGCGTGCAGAAAAGCCCTCAGTAAAATCTAAGCCGAAAGAACAATGGTAACATTTCCAAAGGGGCTACTCCAAAGTATAAAATGGGAGATGCAGGTTCAAATCTCAGCTCAGTGATGAAGATTCACTAGGTGTGACCTTCAGCCAGTCACTCAACATGGCCTACCTTACTGGGGTGCTGTGATGATAAAGTGAGGGGACTGTGTATGTTGATCTGTAGAACTAGCAGGATAAAAAAAAGGGACGGGTAGATGGAGACGGAGAGACGCCTATGGATAAAGACGAAATCTTTGGTTCCCGCACTGCCATTTAAACTCACCTTCTTCCTCTTTCGCTGCTTGGTTTTGGAAGAGTCCTGTGGAACGCTGCCATTCCCCACAGCTCCAGGCTGAGTCTTCCCAAGATGCTGGAGGCCAGAGGCAGGAGGCGTGGGTGTGGCTGGGGGCGTGTTCTCAGGAGAATCTGGGCTGCTCCTCATACCTGCCATCTGCCCTAAAGCATGCATCTAAAAACGAGAGCCACAAAACGGAGAACGTAATGGCTTAACCGGTTCAGGTGACACGCCCAAGCATAGACTCTGAGCACTGGCAAGTTTGGAAACTCTAGTGAAGGCATGGACCTAGAATGTTCTAGAACTTAGTCAGAAGCCAAGGCATGCAAGGTAAAAGAACAGCAATGTAATGCTTCTTTCTCAAGGAACTTCGGCTTCTATGCCCTGTTGTTGGCCCTCCAGAGGAACTGGTTGGCCACTGCGTGAGACGGGATCCTGGACTAGATGACCACTGGTCTGATCCAGCAGGGCTCTTCTTATGTTCATATGCTAAGCTGTGCCTTGGGTATGGCAAATGGCAGGATCTAACTTGGATAGTGGTCGCCCTCCACAGGAAACGAAAGAAACCATTGACCACACACTTGTTTGGACCCTCAGGGGTTGGTCCAGGAAGAAGAATGTGCCCTTGCTTGCATGGGTCCCTTATGACCAATGTTCCCTCTAAGCTGAGTTAGCGTGAGCTAGCTCACAATTTTTTAGCCTCTGGCTCACACAAACTAAATTATGCAGTAGCCAAATCGCTCGCTCACAACTTTAATGCCAGTAGCTCACAAAATAGAATTTTTCCTCACAAGACTCCACAGCTTAGAGGGAGCATTGCTTACGACCCACCACTTGGGTCCTGTCTCACCACTTACAGGCCACGTGAGAATCTCAGGGAAGGACTCTGTTCTTCAAGTTTTTCTCTGAAGCGGAAACTGTTGGGTGCTCCACGCCCCTGCTTATTTGCTGCTACCGGCATCTGATACATCATTTTACATCTGTGTCCCCTCCCATCCTTCAAGGAGATCAGGATGGTAAACACGGGGCCAATATGTTTCTTGTAAAAATAAATCGTTTTCTTTCTTTTTTTAAATGAGCAAGAGAGAGAGAACTACTAGCCTCGAGGTAAACCATGGCTGAGAAGGGACCTGAGCCCACCTCTCCCCAACAGAAGTCTAACTCTGGCTGTGATCACACGAGCAGCTTGGCCTGACGCAGCCACCCCTTCCCTCCGGATTAAATGGGCGCAGTTACACAGCCACATCTGTCAGGTGTTCCCCAGGTATACTCACCCAATGGTAGGATAACTTGGAACTGGCCTAAAAAGGCGCCACATCACAAGTGGTGTTTTCGATTCCCCGCACATTCATTGCACATGGCCAAACGCCTGAATGCAGGGGAGCACGTGCAGATCGGATTTGGCAGTCTGAACCTGCAGATCCGTTCCCACTGCTAGGGAGGGTTTTGTGTGTGTTTTTTTAAAGCCCAGTGTGTGTGCATGTGCATGAGAGCATGTGTGCACATGCGCGTGCATGCACACTTATGTGCACTTGTGCACGTGCATACATTTTGAAAATTTTCCAGGCAGCACGCTCTGTGGCTGAGGTGCTGCAGTCATGTGGATGCTTGACTACGGGATGTCTGCATGGGTAACCTGCTGCAGGGTATGCTGTCTGGATGATATGCCCCACAAGACTTCATTGCGTGTGACTGGATGTCTGAACACGGGGAAGCACGCCCAGGATGGATTGGCAGTCCGAACCTGCAGATCCATTTCCACCACTAAGGTGGGATTTTTAAAGTTTTTGCCTATATGCGCATGTGCGCATGAGCACATATGCGCACACACCCACCTGCATTCTTTTTTTTAAAAAAATGACCGAGCAGCACGCTCTGTGGCTGAGACGCTGCAGTAATGTGGATGCTCGACCACAGGAGGGTCGTGTGGGTAACCTGCAGCAGGGTGTGCTGTCTGGATGATATGCCAGTACAATCAGAGGCGGCCCCATATTGCGCCAAGCTGCCAGTGGGATCACACCCACTCTGCCTACTATATCACACTGTATTCAGGAACCTGGCTTTCCTTGGCAACATGCACTGCAAGTGACTCTGCTAACAAGCCTTCAGATCACGCTATGCGTCAGGATTGCCTGGTAGGGTTGGGAACTGAGGGGCACTGCGCACAAGTGGTTCTGGTCCATTTAATAGCTGCACGTCGAGGTATTAAACTAACCGGTCTGCTACAACACAGTCTATATGGGGCTGCCCTCGAAATCTCCCAGAGTTTAAAATTGGTTCAAAACATGGCTGCTTTCTTAATGACAGGTGTAAGGAGAAAAAGGCGCCTTACAACTAAGCTCCAACAGGGATACTGGTTGTCTGTAAGTTCCTGGACACGGATCAAACTGCTGGTTTTAATGACAGAAGAGGAGGAGGCGGCGGTGGAGGAGAGTTGGATTTATATCCCGCCCTTCACTCGGAGTCTTACAGTCTCCTTACCCTTCCCCTCCCCACAGTAGACACCCTGTGAGGTAGGTGGGGCCGAGAGAGCTCTTTCGAGGACTGCCCTTGAGAGAACAGCTCTGAGAGAACTTGTAACTGACCCAAGGTCACACCAGCAGCTGCAAGTGGAGGCGTGGGGAATCAAACCAGGGTCTCCCAGATTGGAGTCCATGCTCTTAACCACTACACCTAACTGGCTCTCAGGATGATTTGAGGATGGAGTACAGGAAGCACAGACTCCCCATGACTCATTCTACTCCTTGAGACTTACAGAGCAGGCCCTGCTCAAAGTGCCATCTCAAGTGGGTGCAAGACTGCCGTGTGTGAAGAGCAAGGCATTTTTGGTAACGCCTCTGAAGCTACAAAACTAACTTTCCTGGGAGGCTCATTTCGCCTTCTTCACTTGCCACATTTTGGAGGCAGGCAAAGGCGCTTCTTTTCCAGTGGGGGATTTAAGGATAACTGTTAGAATACTTCCAGGACTGAAAATACTTCTCCTCTGCTGCTTGAGTCACTATAATACCATGCATTTTACCTCATGTTGTTATCATCGACCATTCTGGATTTTTAAAAAAGTTGTAAAACAATATACAAACATGGTAAACAAACAAACAGCACTATGATTTATAAGCCAAACTCAACAGAATGTGTTTCTTACTCTTACTTGGGAAAGAGACAAGCACAACAATTACCAAAAGGTTTTTCCTACCGCTTGGAATTTCAGGGGGGAAAGCGGGATCAGGCTGATATACAGCCCTGTAAAATGTTTTTTTTTTGCCCCTATCTGTTCAGTTCCCCCTTTCTATTCCTATGAGAAAACAAATATCCGTAGAAGAAGGAAGTATATATTTACCTCAGTAGGGTTGTGGTACTGAATGAAAGTCGCAGATATTGCGTGACTGAAAGGATCGCCCGCTTTCGGAGCCATATCCTGCTTGACCAACAGGGCCAGATCCACCAGCTAAGGAAAGAATGGAGAAAAGGAAGAGAAAAGTTTAAAGAACCAGAACTAGCACTTGTCGGCCCGGTAGCCAGAAATTTTTGGCTAGTGGGCAGGGGCGGAAGGAGGGGAATGGGGAACTTACTTAGATTACCCAACAGCGTGTGGGGTGGGGATAACGAAGGAGAGAGAGACAGAGAGAGAGACAGAGAGAGAGAGATACATGGACCTTGAGGGCCTGGGATATATGGTGCACAAGCCAACTTCTGTTCCAGTGTCGTCCAGGCGTCTGGATCATATGTATCGGGTCCAAGAGACAGAGGCTGAATTCCTCCCATAGGTGTGATGCACAGAGACCACGAAGAAGACAAACAGGTTGCTTACCTGTAACTGATGGTCTTCGAGTGGTCATCTGTGCAGTCACATCACCCGCCCGTCCTTCCCCACTGCTGTCGCTTCAGTACTTTTCTCTGGTTATTGACATGACAGCAGTGAGAAGGAACTGGCGGGATGTCCGCGCCCCTCCTCCTTGGGCATGTGCAGTGGGGTTCCCGCGCATGCCTGGGAGGGAGGCGCGAAAAATCCCTTTGTGAGCTTTGTATACCACCGATTCGGATCAGCGCAGGCGCATAATCCCATAGGTGTGATGCACAGAGACCACGAAGAAGATCGATCCATTTCTTTTAGGGAATAAAGAGTGATAAAGGGGCAAACTTTCCCCCCAAAAACCATTCGATACAGAGATCCCCTTTAGTTACCTGTGCAACAGTCTCGTAGGCTAAATAAGCTAAGATCTCCATGGCAATGGCGTTCGGTTTTATTTCCATGCTGCTACAGTCCAGCCAGTCTCGAAATTTGGAAGCTTTCTTAGCTGGGCAGATAAAACACAAGAGTGGCGTAAGGTGGGGTGGGTTTTTTTGGCTTTGGAGTTAAAAAGAACAAAGGCCATAATTTCCCCCCCAAACATTTTATTAAGATTTTCAAATCACGATCAATAAAACATTCAATTGAACAAACACAGAGAGGTAAAAACAGAATACAACGTAATTGTCAACGTACATATGTAGTGCTTTTGATTTAAGCATATATTGAATATCTAACAAAGGAAAAGGTAAATTATATCTTATCATGCTATTACTGTTAAGTACAGTAGGAGCTGTGGTGGCTCAAGTGGTTAAGATGCTGAACTGCAGGCTGTGGAAGGTCGGTAGCTCAGCAGTTCGAGACTCGAGTGCCACATGATGGAGTGAGCTCCCGTCTCTGGTTCCAGCTCCTGTGCCAACCTAGCAGTTCGAAAGCAAGAAATTGCAAGTAGATAAATAGGGACCACTTCGGTGGGAAGGTAACAGCGTTCCGTGCGCCTTGGTGTTTAGTCATGCCGGCCACATGACCACGGAAACGTCTTCGGACAGCGCTGGCTCTTCGGCCGACTGGCTTTCGAGCAAGGGAACCTTTACCTTTACCGTAGGATATTAGTCCGATTTTTTTTATTAGTCTAATACTCTGAGCCATAAATGAGAACCCCTGAATCTGTGGTTCCTGAAGGCAGTGACAGTTCCCCAACACTATCAGTATCACAAACCGTGTACTCGTGCAGGACAATCAGTATCATGTACCAGTGCAGGCCATTGATGTTAAGGCCAAACCGGACCTGATGGTTTCCTCACAGCTGCCCTGAGGAGGCAGCCGCCATTTTAAAAATGCCACGCGGGCCCGATCCTGATCCTGTCTGCAAACTGCCCAGTTGAGGCATTTTATCAAGTGCCAAAATGGCCGCCCCCTGCAGCTGTCTCAGCACTTCAGAAAGTACCGGGGTGGGGGACAAGAGCGCCACAGTGTGGACCCAGTCAGGACTGGTCCCTTGCGGCATTTTTGAACAACTTTAAAAGGGCAGTGATATCCTTGGGGTGGCCAGGAGGACGCCGTCACGTCTAGTTTGGCCCTGAGTTGCCCATAGTAGCCAAAACAAGGGCCTGAGTCGGATCTCACCTTTGACACAAACTGATTAGGTGGACTTGGGAAAGTCTTACCCTGTTCCTCGTCGGCAATATGAAGAAAACACTGCTGAAGCACCTTTTTTGTTGTTGTTGTTCAGTCGCACAGTCGAGTCCGACTCTTCGCGACCCCATGGACCAGCTCACGCCAGGCCTTCCTGTCTCCCGCCGTCCTCTGAAGTTGGCTCAATTTCATGTTCGTTGCATCTATGACACTGTCTAACCATCTCATCCTTTGCCGTCCCCGTCTTCTTTGACCTTCAATCTTTCCCAGCATCAGGGTCTTCTCCAGTGAGTGCTCCCTTCTCATTGGGTGGCCAAAGTATTTGAGCTTCAGTTTCATTATCTGGCCTTCCAGGGAACACCTTACAGGGCTTTTTATCAAGAGTAGACGAAGTGATCTGAACGTTCTCAAGGGCGACATATTATAAAAACGTGTATCCCTTATCACAGTTACTAGCCTCCCCCCTCCCCGAGAATATCAGATGATAGTTTCATCAGGGATTGAGATCCTAAGATGTTAAAGCACAGAGATGGTAAGGTTGAGGTTTTGATCAGTTTCCAAATGCACATTCTGCGACAAGTGATGCTCTGTCTTCTTGGTGCTTGGGGGGGGGGCAACAGTGGGAGGGCTTCAAGTGTCCTGGTCCCACTGCTGGACCTCCTGAGGGCACCTGGTACTTTTGCCCACTGTGTGACAGAGTGTTGGACTGGATGGGCCACTGGCCTGATCCAACATTGGCTTCTCTTATGTTCTTATTCCTAACAACTAGCAAGGGTAGCTTAATTAGACACGGACCTGCTGACCACATCTTTTAAAAGTGGGTAAGCGGCTAATGAATACCCTGAACCCAGGGCTAGACCAATCTCGTCAGATCTCAGAAGCTAAGCAGGGTCAGCCCTGATTAGTATTTGGACGGGGGAACTCCAGGGAAGTTCAGGGGTTGCTACATGGAGGCAGGGCAAAGGTAAACCATCTCTGTTCATCTCTTGCCTTGAAAGCTCTACGGGGTCACCGCAAGGCCGCTGCAACTTTAGGGCACTTTCCACCACCAAGACGCTAACGAACGGCATTAGTATTTATCAGTGACAACTACGCGATATTTAGCAGCAAAAGGTATATTCAAAACTATTTATTTATTCACTTCATTTATATGCTACCTTTCTCTCCAATGGGGACTCAAAGTGACTTACGAGGAGGAGGAGGTGGAGGAGAAGGAGGAGGAGGAGAACTTGGATTTCTACCCCACCCTTCATTACCCAAAGGAGTCTCAGAGAGGCTTACAATCTCCTTCCCCTTCCCCTCCCCTCAACAGACACCCTGTGAGGCAGGTGGGGCTGAAGAAGAGGAGATTGGATTTATATCCCGCCCTTCACTCGGAGTCTCAGAGCGGCTTACAATCTCCTTTCCCTTCCCCTCCCCACAACAAACACCCTGTGAGGTTGGTGGGGCTGAGAGAGCTCTGACAAAAAACTGCTCATTCAAGGACAGCTCTGAAAGAACTTATGACTGACCCAAGGTCGCACTAGCAGCTGCACGTGGAGGAGTGGGGAATCAAACCTGGTTCTCCCAGATTAGAGTCCGCACACTTAACCACTACACCAAACTGGCTCTCACTACCACCCTAGCGGTTATGATATCTGATTGAACTCCCCACCAATTTAAACCAGCCCACTCGGGTTTTTAACAGGTTCCTCTGCACGAATGCTTCATTCTTTATTAGCAAGGTTTGCTCAGCTCTTCTCATTTCAGCATGTCTGCAGTAAGATTGTGGAGATTTAGCTACTGTCTCCCTCCCGCTTCTTTGGGTGACTGTCGCTACGAAGCTGCTACCGGGTCTCAAAAAATGCCGTGCCCATATTGCTTCTTGTGTTCGAGAGTCCCCCCCCTACTATTAATCTGTCTGTTGCATCTTTATATTGGTGGGGTCTTGATTATAATTATTAGGTGCAAAAATCTGACTTCATTGCAAGCCTCTCAGATGTTGAAATGAATTTAATCTGAAGGATCGTCTACTTAACCGCTTGCAGATGTCAGGCTACGGCCTAAGAGAGCTTTCTAAAAGAAAAGAAAAAAAGCACACCAAACTGGCAAGAAGACCAGTTCCAAACCGAGTTTCCTCAGTTGTCTGACATTTACAGAGGACACTGCGTTGGATGTGTCTTTTATTTTGCACGTTTGTGATTCGCGAGAGCACCAGTCATTTCTCCAAATCAAATGCTTGTTAGCGAAAAGAAGATAAATGCCTTTCGTTTAGAGATGCCGCTGTGCTTTCATTTATTACCGCAACATCATGTGCTATTTTTCATGCTTTTTAGAGGACTCTCCGCAGCCCTCTCACTCTCATCCCAATTTCTAGCCTTAACCACCATTTAGATGCTTCTGTAGTGGTGTTTTTTTTTTACTTTGTTATATGAAGCAGTCTATTAATTTACAGCCCACTCCAACGGTAGCACATCAACTATCTTCCAGTGCAATGTTTTTCCACTGCTGGTGAAACCCTAATTCTTTTCCTTATGTCACCTGCCGCGATGGCAGTGTGCGCTGGTGATTCCTGTAATGGCAAGAAAAGCCTCGCGGACACAAGCTACAGACTTACTTATATCAAGCGTGCTCTGTAGAAATGGGAATCCAAAGTGAACTTTGTTAACGCGGGCTAAGCTTTAAAAAAAAAAAAAGAACGACCAACAACAATGGCGGAAAGTGCTGTCAAGTTCTGTTAATTTGTTTATTTTTAAAAAATATATATATTTACATTTATATCCTGCCCTCCCCGCCATTCGGCAGGCTCAGGGTGGCTATCAACATACATAAATATACATTAAAATTCCATTAAAACTATCAATCAATATAAAATCATACTACAGTTGGAGCTGACCTGCAGTGACCGTGTAGTGCTGACCTGTGCTGACCCAGGTCTGTAGCTACAGTGGGGCCTCTCAGGGCCCAGCCCCCCACCCCCGGCTTACTGCCAAGGCCCCCTGACTTCCCATCTAGCCCAGGCCACCTGACTCCCCCCTTTCCCCCCCCCCCTACCCCTCTCTCTTGTGGCTTACAAAACCTCCGGGGCCAGCCCACACGT